CGAGTACGTGCGCACAGGTCAAATAACGGAGCGGAAACAACTTGTCTCCCTAGCAATGTGCCCGCTTCTTCTCTCTCTCTTTCTCGCTCCCCACCCCGCCAAGTTTAAGTTGTTGTGGTCGTTGAGGTCCTTGGGTTCGGACGGTGCCGCACTGCGCACCACCAGGGCATGTGCCAAAATCGATGTCAAGGCGGGGTGGGGAGGAGGAACGGGGAGGGGCAGCATGACTGCCCGACCCCATTAACTGTTCTCGAATAGTGTGGCACATATCCCACTTCCAGGAGGGCGGCGGCGTTGACTTAAAACCCAGCGGGGGGGAGAGAGAGCGAGAGAGAGATAGAGGAGGGAAGCGGGACATGTTCCAGGGAGTCAGTTGCTTCGTGCGCCTGGTAGGCACCCGAAACTTGTATATGCACCTTTCGGCCCTTGGCGTCAAGCACACGTCGTTGCCCCTCCATTTGCAGTTTAGCGCAGCTGGTGTTGAGTCAAACGTTCTCCTCACGTTCAAGTATGGCGTCGGGGACTTTTTGTGCGTTGCCAGAGTGAAGGTGTTTCCAAGTGGCAGCTGGGGGTTGGAGAGACACGCCCAAGGGAAAATCATTTCTATGCCGTCGCATCTCCTTCTGAAGGAATTTCTGATAGAGGCTCGAGGGAATAACGGTGGTCACCCGCTTCGTGTAACAAGGCTTGTTATAAGTAGGCTGGTCAGGGCTCCTCGTGAGAACAATATCGAGTTTGCTTATTTCTTGGATGAGTGGTCTACCCTGGACCTGGACTTAGTCACGCAACAAAAAGCTAAGAAACGAAAAACAGGCGACCCCAAACCTTGGATGCCGTTCGGGCTGAGTTTTGACGGACCTGATGGGCCAGCGCCACCACCGCCTGGACCTGAACATCCCCACGGGCTTCCTGGATGCGGAGGGCTGGAGGCGGCCGACGGCGAGTTTGGGGCAGAGTCCGACGCGTCTGACTTGGGAGGTGAGTCTATCATTCCAGAATGCACATCCAGTGATGAGGGGGATTTGATGCCTGAGCCTGAGTCCGATGGCCCAGGCATGATGAGCCGCCGCCGCCGCCTTTGCCACCACTCCCTGTCGGCCCTCATGGTGAGGGGGCTCATCCATGGGGGTTGGCTGGCCTGATCGGATACGGGAGAGCTCCCGCGAACCGAGCCGCGCGTGGGATTTGCGGGGGGCCAATCGAGAGAAGGCACGTGGCGAGTTGAGCATCGGATGACTAACATCATTAATGCACAAGCCATGTGGAACGTCAAGCGAATCCACATTCATTGCGTCCAATTTTTGCCAGCAGAGCTGAGGCGAGCTAACTTTTTAGTTGCCCAAGATTGGTCCAATCGCCATGGACTCAGTTTGCAAGAGCAGGGGGTTCTCGATGAGCTTGTGGACCTGCTCAGAGACGGGCACGGCGCAGCTTCAGGCTCTGGCGTGCCCCCTGGCGCGTAAGCCTTTTCATGTTGGGGGGGGGGGGAGGAGGTGAGGGATGGCGTGGCTCGTCGGAGGGGGCAGTGCAGCTGCGCCAGGCCAGAGGTCGGCAATGGCCTCATGCACTGCTTGCGTAGACCCATGCAGGTGGGTCGAACTCGCTCGCGCCGACAGGCCGAACTCACCCGAGAGGGGCCGCTGGCTCCAGAACAAGCTCCAGAACAAACTCCAGAACAAAATTTGCTCTGGAGCATGTTGGAAAGTCTGTGTTTTCAGGTTTTGTGACCTCCAGAACAAATTTTGTTCTGGAGGCGACCTCCCGAACAAGATTTGTTTTTGGGCTAGGGTGGTGCAAGTCTGGCAGTTTGAGGCGGCCTGCACGGTGCAAGCGAGTTAGTTTTCGAAGCCGTCGGCGGTGCACGATCGCGCAGTTGAGCTTGCAGCCCGCAAGAAACTATGCAACATATTGGCACGCCCGTGTCGATCAGAGCCGCTAGGGTTCGGGCCCAGGTGTCTGACTGTCTTGAGACCGACTGGCGTATGAGGTCGCAGCATCGTCGTGTGAAGCCCTCTGGGTCCGCGTGGAGCGCGACGCACGCGTCATTAACATTAGCATCGGGCGTGGTCGCAAGTGACGCAAGCTAACGCAGTTGTAAGCATTGGCATGCAGCATGGCACATTCCAAAGGCAACGCAAGCAACGCAGGCCGAGCGCACATCAGTCATCAGTCGCATCAAGCGTGCTCAGAGCATTAGCAGCAGCAGCAACCATATCCCACCATAAATATCGTTGCCTGTCTGGCTCCAAGGATCCCTCTCCGAGCGGCCCTGCGCGCTCGCAGTCAGTGTCAATTGCCAGCCGGCACTTCCGACCTCGCAGCCTCAGCTCTCAGCCTCGATGGCGCCACCTCGTTACATGCGGGCGCTTCGCCCAGCGCAGAAGCGATATGTCAAGAAGTTGGAGCGGGCGCTGGGTAAGGAGAGGCTGCGCAATTCGCACCTTGCAAAGCGGCTTCGTAAGATGTCGACCCAGATGCGCAGGATCACGCGTGTTTCAGAGGATGCTGTTGCCAACGATCTCATTCAGTATAACGCTCAGCGTGCAGAACTCGAAGTTCTCGACGATCTTGAAAACCAGGCTGCGGCGGCAGACATTATTCTTGACGGCGGCGGCCTCTATGCTGAGTCACATTGTGAGGACGTTGGCCCAGTCAGCCCAGTCGGTGAGGGTGAGGATGACGGTGGTGAGCCGTCAGAATCTTGAGGTTGCGCAGGCCTAACCCTTGTTAAAGATCGAGTGCTGCTCACGTTGCGCCTCTCGCTTGAGCCAGTGCAGCGTTGAGCCTTGCGCGCCTCTGGGGCCACGCTAAACGTATGAGTGTGCATCGCCATCATCCATCGCATCATTGGCTTGACACAGTCATCATCGTCATCATTGCATCATCGCTATCCTCGACAAGGGTCCAAGGTATCATCGTCACCATTGCATCATCATTGCATCATCGCTATGTCGACCTTGGTCCAGAGGTCCAGGGCGTTTCTTCGCCGCGCCGAGAGCATTCGAGTCGGGCCCTGATTGGCCTCTGTCGCAACCTTGATCCCGCCTGCGGGGCACTGGCATTGAGGGGGATAAGGAGTCACAAGCGATCCAGACTAAGTGAGGTTCCAGAGTTCCAGAGCAACGCAAACCAAATACAATTGCCAGGGAAGGTGCGCTCCCAGAGGGCCTGAGGGTCTGCCAGGGAAACAGTTTGACACGATAAGACAGCACATTAAACCTTACACTAGACAGCAAAGCGAAGCAACCCTAAATCAGCCAGAGCGTCCTCCTTCAGGTGGCGTGTTGTGTGTGTGTGGTGTGGTGACCTGTGTGGTACATAGCCCATTTTGGGCTCAAGCCTTTGAGGCTTTGAGGCCGCCCGAGCCTCGCGCGGGCCTGGCCCGCGCCTGGGCCGCTGGCCGGCGGCCTGCCTTCTCGCTCCTGGATTCAGAACTACAGAGCCCAGCGGCATGGGCAAGGGGCCCAGGTCTTCTGCTTCGGGCCGAGCTTCGGGGAAGGCCGCCAACAGCGTCGGCGTCGGTGGCAAAAAGAAGAGGATGACCTGGCAAGAGGAGATCGCAGCTGCTCCACCAAAACTCTGCGGATCTTGCGAGCAGATGGCGGGGGAGATCGACAACCACGGTGATGGGGAGATCAGAGTTCAGTGGCATCGTGCAGAGAGGAGCAGCACGTCGGGGGAGGTCTACTTGACGGGCGATGAGTGCTACCACTGCTGGGACACTCGGAGGCGGTACTTCGAGGATGACGTCAAGACCCTCAACAAGAAGAGGCAGGATAACAGCTCCCTCGACGCTCGCTACAGCTGCTTGCGGAAAGATAGGGTGTTGACACTTGGGGAGTACAAGCACTAGGAGAAGAAGACTGCTGACGCCTGGATCACCGAGATCGAGGCTGAGTTCTGCGAGGCTTTCGAGGAGGGCGCCTTCTACACTCTCCAGCGCTTCTGCAAGTCGCAGAAGGACGACTCCGAGGACGACAGTGAGGACACCTTGATCAGGAAGATCCGCAGGGTGTGGCCCAACATGGAGGTCAAGAAGGACAGCAGGCTGAATGCGATAGGCTGTTGGTACGTCAACGACCCCAATCCGAACCAGGGCAACTACAAGTTCCGCAGAGGCGCCAAGCAAGAGATGCAGACAGTCAAGCGTACGAGGTGCGCCGACGATGAGATGCTCGGTGAGGAGTACAGCGAGGCGAAGACGAAGAAGGGGAAGCTGGTCGGCCTGGGGGAGAAAGTTGCCGTCGCACAGCGGCGTGACTCAGGCGAATGCGATGTCGCCGTCTTGAGCGACGTGGAGAGCAGGGGCAGCGACGACAGCGACGACGACGACAACGGGCTGCAGGAGCAGTAGGAGGACTCGGTGATCATGGCGTCTTCAGCGGGCGGCGGCGACAGCAGGGCGCCTCGTTCGAGCCCGAGAGCCAGCGCCAAGGCGGCGGCGGCGGCAGGCCCTGAGGGCGGCGACAGCGACGCCGAGGGCGGCGGCCAGAAGCGCGGCGGCGGGCTAGCCCGCGGAGAGGTGCGGGGTCCACAAGCACACCGCTACGGCATAGAAGTAGCCCCTCCTGCTCGTCCTCCCTCCTCTCTGTCTCTGCTCCTCCGCCTCCGCCCTCATCCCCTCCTCTTCCACCCGCTCATTCTCCTTGTCTCCCACTCTCTCCTCCTCCTCTTCCTCCTCCTCATCCTCCTCCTCCCGCTCCCTAGATTGTCTCCCCCCCTCCTCTGGCCTCCCGCAGTTATCCTTGTCCTCCTCCCCCTCCTTCTCCACGCATCCTCACTGCGTCCATTTTGGATCTCGCCGATTCCTGGAACATATGTTTTGCTACCAGCCCCGATTGGTTCTTGGGGTAAGGTAAGGGCTCGGGGGGCCAGAAAACGTGGGTCTTGATTTATCGGATGCCACGGGCCGTTTTGCGGTGGGCTTGGTGGCCCTGAAGGGCGCCGGCAAGCAGAGGGCGACCCCGCAGGAGGCTGCGATCAGGAGGCGCGCCAAACTCATGGCGAAGGTGAAGGAGAACCACACCGAGGAGCTGGAGTGGAGCAAGCGGCCGAATACCAGGGTTCACGACTCCGTCATCAACTCCTTGGCCAAGTCAGCCCGCGAGCTGGCCAGGTTCACTGGCGACAAGGGCTGCTCGTCATTGTCAGAGCAGGCTGGCATGACAATCTCATTGCTGGGTCAGCGGCGCTCACTGTTCGAGGAGATCAAGAACTCGACCGCCGCGATCGCCCAGAGGACGACGACGAGCGCGGAGCACCAGGTCATGCTCGGCTGCGCGGTGCGGCTGCGGGCGCAGATCGTCCAGCAGGCGTCTTTTTCGCTTGCGGGTACCCACCCGCCGCTGATGCTGCAGCTGGCCGTCTGCCCTCGAATCGAGATGCCCGATCAGGACTCAAACCCGCACACGTGGCCTCGCATCGACATGTTGTGCCTTGGGCTGTTGCTGGAGAACGTTCCTTCAGGGGAGGAGCTCGCCGCGGCTGCATCGCTGGCAGTGCGAACTCAGACGGCCATCGTGAGCGACATGATCGAGCGGATTGTCCTCGAGAGCCCGTTGGAGCAGAAGTCCTTGGAGATGATTGCCGAGATCAAGGCCGCCCTGGGCGAGGACTTCACCCGTTTCGACTTTGATGTGTCAGGAACTGGCGATGCTGAGCCCGAGCCCCACGCCAAGTGCGGCCTCTTCGAGCAATCCTACGTGGACATCTCCGTGCTCATCGCTATCGGCGACGCCATCGTCTGCACGAGCGCAGGGGCTACTGTCGCTGGCGAGCTGCGCAAGCAAGCCAAGAAGATGCTGTCTGTCGTGTCATCAATTTCGACTCGCGTCCGCAACCTTGCCTTAGCTACAGTGAAGGGGGCCATCAACAACAACATTTTCAAACGTGGATGGGCGCAGCTATCCGAGATGTTCCCGAATGATACAGGCTTGAACTCGTCGCAGGACGCCGTGGACGCAGCCGCCAAGTTCAAGGCAGTCATGGTTCAGAAGGTTGAAGAGGCGGCGGCGGCCGTAGGGGACTCGGCGGACATCGCGTACAACGTTGTGGTGGATGTGTGTGACGATGACGAAGTGGCCATCACTGAGAAATTCTGTTCCTTGTGCATCGTCAATGCCGACCCCAGCGACTTCGATGAGCTAGCGTACTCCGACTACCAGTCGATGGCAACAAAGGTCGTCAAGTTTTTGTGCACCACCTTGATGGGCCAGTTCACCGTAGAGGATCTCCAGGCCAGGCAAGCTGTCATCTTAACTGTGGTAGGTGTCGCACGTTCCCCCCTCCTGGTGTAATACATCGCCAGAAAAGGTTTGAGTGGGCTCGTGTTCGGGTTCGGGTGCGTCCTGGGGCGCCGTGTAGGTTTCTTCAGGTCCTCCTGGGGGGCCCTTGTTGGGCTTGACTGGTGATCGTCGCTCGAGGGGTTCTTTGAACGCCAATGCGTTCGCGGTGGGCGAGGTGCGTCACCGACCCAGTTAGATGACCGCTCAGGGTAAGCTGTCATCTGCGGTGCACGCCGAGGCTTCGGAGGGCATGTTGCATGATGTCTATTGGGTCGGGCACATCTTCGAACAGCTGCTCAACTTTGCACCGAAGTGGACCCGCCTCCACGTTGCCAAGGAGAAGGTCCTTATGGCGAACGCTGCAATGGAGCTGGTGGACACCTGCAAGATCGACGCTTCTTGTGCGACGGGGCTCCGCGAGTGGACCGCGCTCTACGGGCTGGACCAGCAGTTGCTGGTGACGTTGCAGGGCGCCGCCGACGGCGCGCCCAACGAGCTCTTCGAGGCAGAGTTCGTGGATTTCCTTCGGTGCTTGACGGGCGCCTGGTCTACCGTGCAGGTTGCAACCCCTCTTGCATCGTTCGTTCAGTGCGTGGTGCACTCAGCCCACCTCTCAGACACCTTCCCCTCCGTCGCAAAGGAGTTCGGCGCAAAGCTGCCCGATGACGTCAAGCTGACCCTGACCTCGGCTCGCTCCACGAAGGCTTTGGAGGGGGCTTTCAACTCAAGCAGGGATGGGAGGCCGTGCGGCCTCATCGAGCTGACGGGCATCCTCGCCGACTGCACCGCATGCACCAATGCGGTCCGTGACATCGGGACCTTCGCGAAGCAGGATAAAGACATGGTGAGGCTTTGGAAGGTCTTGCTGCGCGACGTCGTCACGCCCGACATGGCCGCCGAGGTGAAGGATTTCTGAGCAAGTACGGTGTCGACACCTTGGCGCCAGCCTTGGACTCGTGGACTTTCACTAAAGAGCTTGCCTTCATCACCGAGGACAAGGCTGATGTGCAGTGGGGTGCGAAGATCAAGCGCCTGGAGAAATACATCAACGCATCGCCGACCAATGAGCGCATCATTGAGTTCCTGGGCGCTAACATGCCAGCGCTTCACTGGGCTTCAGATGCTGAGAAGGATGAGATCCGCTCCTTGACCAAGGGCGCAGCGCATCGCGCGGCTGAGTGTGTGCAGGTAGGCGTGGCCGTGTCTTGCCTCGCGCTGGCCACCTGCATATGCGCCGCGCCTGAGAGCTCTCGCCAGCGCGCCCTTGACATGTCAGCGCAAATGATTTCCAAACGCTTCGCTGTCAAGCTCGAGGCCCCCCCGAAGAGCCTGCAGACCAAAGTCTCAGACGCGCTCGGTGGTCAGGTCTCGGCGGGGCCCTCCAAAGGTTCAAAGCTCGGTGCTGAGTCTGATGTGATTATCGTTGCAGGGTCGACCGATCAGTCTACTGCAGCCTCTGCCGCAAAGCCTTCCAAGAGGAAGGTTCCCAAGAAAAAGGTTGTGGACTAGGAACGGTGCAAGGTCAGTTCTTGCGCGTCCAGTTTTGCTTCGCCTGGCCCGTGCAAGTCTGTGAGCGCGACCTCGGAAGCAACCAAACACATGTCGAAACACATGCCACGCACCATGCGCGCACAATTGTACCAATGGTCAGCTCACGAAGTTTCGTTGTAGGGGGACGCTTGCTGGAGAGCCCACCGCAGGGTGGGGCTGTGTTGGGTTGGGCTCAGTACGAGTCCGCGCAGTTGCTCGCCGCCGCCAGGGCACTCCAGCACAATACACGTGGTGCCAGCGGCACCTCTTGCTTCACTGCAGTTGCAAACAACGGAAACCAGCCATCCCGACATCCCCACCATGGTCTCCTGTTCCTCTTCCTCCTCCTCAGTCCCCCTTCCCCTTCACCCCGCACCCTTGTTGATGCTCTTTTCGGCCCTCGCCCCTCGCTGCCGCCGTCGCCGACGACGACGTTCGTCGTTCGCCGCGCCCGCCGACGACGCCAACTTCGAGGCGCGTGGTGCCGCCAGGGGACGGGGAGGGAGGGGGGGCGGGACGGGGGCGGAGGGGCGGGGAGGGGGGGGGGGGCGGACATGGGGGAGAGAATGCAGGAGGATCAGCGACGCCAGACACGGATAGTGGGGGTGGGAGGAATGGGCGAGGATGAAGCTGGAAGCAGACGAAGGAGGAGGAGGGACGTGCACGATGAGACAGCGAGGGGGGGATGAGGAGGACGAGGCGACTACGGAGGGACCGACGGGATGAGGAAGGACACGGAAGAGGAGGAGAGGGAGGAACCAGGAAGAGGAGGGAGTAGCAGGCGAGGGGCTACTGTTCTTTGGCTCAACGATTTAGGCCCCTAGGCGATTTGGGTAAATGCGATTTCGGTGTCCAGGTGCTCGTTTGCACTTAGATTTTTGCACCTGGGTCAGGGCCGATTTTCGAGTTTCTTACCCAGGGGCCAAACTTGATATGCTGGTTTAACCCAGGGGGGCGTCCGAAACAAACGCCTACGCGCACCGCCCTTTGCACCTCTACCTTTATGTCAGATTGCCCCATACAAGTCCCAACAGCGCAGCCCGCTTGCGTCCGCGCCACCCATGTTGGCACACCCCTTTTATGTATCGTGGTTCCACAGGAAGCTCCACCGAAGGTCCCAGCGGCGCAGCCCACATGAGTCTGCGTCACTAATTTCGGTCCACCCTTCACACGGTTCGTGGCCCCACAGGGAGTTCCACCGAAGGCTTCAACGGCGCAGCCTGGATGCGTCCTCGCTTCCCATGTTCGCACACCCCTTGCACGTTTCGTGGCCCAATATGGAGCTCCACCGAAAGCTTCAGCGGCGCAGCCCGCATGCGTCCGTGCCACCCATGCCAGCACACCCCTTACACTTTCCGTGGTTCCGCAGGGAGCTCCAACGAGGTTTCAGCGGCGCAGCCCGCATGAGTTCGTGCTACCCATTCCAAATAGCTTTTAATCTCGCTCCACAAGCCGCCCGAGAAACATGCAAACAAACCCCGAATTTCAGGTACTCAAAGAAATCCTTTGACCCAGAACCCAGACACAGTAGCGGTATGGGCCGAAGGCAATTGATAAGCAAGCAATTGGCATGGCGACGGACCCATCCCCTCTATGCGATCATGTGTAGTGCAGGGCGCGGGTCTCTCTTCGCATCCCGCGCGCCGCTGGGCAATGCGGAAAGATGGCTGCTGCGGTGCACGCGTGCACGTGTGCGCTGAACTCTTTGTGGGACACGATCCGTGTGGAGGGCCGCGCGAACGCCCACGGAGGCCGCAGGTGGATCTCCTCCGGGCACGCCCCGTGCGAGGCATGGTCCGAATTGGGCAGGGGACGCCATGCGAAGCTTCCCAGAGGTGCCACAGGTGAAGCCTTCTTCTGGGGCACGACTCGCGTGACAGGTGTGCCGACATAGGCGGGCTGGCCGTTGTACGAGCCTTGTCTCTGGTCTTTTCGGTGGTGCTCCTTGTGGGCACGATTCGTGTGATGCGGTGTGCCGCGGTGGCCGTAGGGGGGTGGCGCAGTGGGAACTGTGCCTCTGGGGCCGTAGGTGGAGATCCCTGTGGGTCACGATCCATGTGGGAGGTGTGCCGAAGTAGGCGGGAGGGCGGGATGCGAGCCTTGTTTCTGGGGCCGTCCGTGAAATTCCTTGCGGGCCACGATCCGTGTGAGAGGTGTGCCGAAGTGAGCGGGGCGACGCTATGAAGCTCCCCTTGGGTGCCGCACTTGCGGGGCACGATCCGCGTGAGGGGCATGCCATTCGGCGAAACTTGTCTCTCTCTGTCTCTCTCTCTCTCTCTGGGGACATAGGTGCAGCCTAAACCAAGCCTGTCTCTGGGGCCGCATGTGGAGCTCCCTGAGATGCGCGATCCGTGCGACAATATAAGTCCTCCGGCGCCGAACACTTTAGACTACAACTAGAGCTTGTTAGAACCTGAGCGCGTGGTTCTAGTGCATATAGAGATATACAGATCTATGTATTCGTATGTAGTTTCTTTTGTGCGTTTTCATTCGGATTCCTTAGGGTGGTCGATTGCGCTGGCCTCACGGCCTGTGCCGCCGACCCTGGAGGCATCGGCTCTCGAGGGAAACGGGGGGGAGAGGGCGGGGAGGAGGAGGAGACGGAGGAGTGAAGGAGGAGGAACAGGTGGGAGGAGGAGCAAGAGGAGCATGAAGATGCGGAGGAGAAATGGAAAAGGTAGAGAAGGGGGAGCAGGAGTTAATGGATGGAGCAGGCGGGGCCTCCAGGACAGAATTTAACACGAGAGTGGCGTGTTAAATTCTGTCCTCGTGTTGTCGTCGTCGTCCGCGTCGTCGGCACAAGGACCCCGAGGACAGAATATAACACGAGAGTGGCGTGTTAAATTCTGTCCTCCTGTCGTCGTCGTCGTCGTCGTCCGTCGTCCTCGTCGTCGTCGTCGTCGTCGCACCCGTCGTCGCGACTACGACGCGTCGTCCTTGTCGTTGTCGTCGGCACAAGGACTCGAAGGACAGAATTGAACACGAGAGTGGCGTGTTAATTTCGTTTCGTCGTCCGTGGTCGTCGTCGTCGTCGTCGTCGTCGTCGTCGTCGACGTCGCACGCTTCGTCGTCGCCCTCGTCGTCATCGTCGTCGTCGTCGGCACAAGGACCAGAAGGACAGAATTTAACACGAGAGTGGCGTGTTAAATTCTGTCCTCGAGTCGTCGTTGTCGTCGTCGTCGTCGTCGACGTCGACGTCGTGGACGTCGCACTCGTCGTCGTCGTCGTCGTCGTCCTTGTCGTCACGTCGGCACTAGGGCCCCAAGGACAGAACTTAACACGAGAGTGGCGTTTTAAATTCTGTCCTCGTGTCGGCGTCGTCGTCGTCGTCGTCGTCGTCGTCGACGTCGCGCGTCGCACGCCCGTCGTCCTCGTCGTCGTCGTCGTCGTCGGGACAGGGAGAGAAGAAGGGAAGGGGCTTGCCCTTGTCCGCTACCCCCCTCGCTACTGACCGAGAAGCCTCGAGGGACCCCCTCCCGACCGAGACCCCACCCTTCCTCGCGCGGGGAAGGGAAGAAAGGGAAGGGGCTTCCCTTTGATTCAGAGACGACGAGGAAAAGGAACGGGACCCCACCCTTCCTCGCGCGGGGAAGGGAAGAAAGGGAAGGGGCTTCCCTTTGATTCAGAGACGACGAGGAAAAGGAAAGGGCAAAAAACGACGACGCTGCAGGGAAACGGGACAAAGGAACGACGAGGAAGAAGCAGCAAACAATAAAGCCTCTTCCACACGCCGACAGGGTCGGCGGATTTCTCAGTTGATTCGTGGTACCACATTCTTGTAATGAACCAGTGAGAGCGATGTGCCATAACAACACGCACCACAGCACAACGAAACAATAGAACACATCATAATAACAAAACACCGACACGTCGACAAAGACCGTCGCCTCGATCTTCGATCTTCGATCCTCGATCATCCTCGATCCTTGAGCCTCGATCCTCCATCGTCGTCGCCGCCCCCTTCGTCGGCGTCCCAGGCCGTGGCTGCGGCGGCGGGCGCGGGAGTGGCGGCGGCCGTGGTGGTGCCCGCCATGTTCCTGGGCGCGCGCGAGGGGGTGCGGAACCGGGGTCGGGCCCACTCTTGCCCTCCCGATCCCGCAGCGGGGGTCGGCGGCGGAGCCCGGCAGGGCTCAAGGGGAGAGCGGGCAGCTTTTTCCGATTCTGCTACCAGAACCAAATCGCCTCAAACCGGCTTGGGCCAAGCCGGCAGCAGTGAGAGAGTGAGTAGAGAGACAGAAGGGGGCTTAAGGGCAGAGCAGGGGGCAGATCCAATCCGAGGGGCACGTTTTCCCACACGGATTCTTACTCTTTGTGGATCTGCGCCCGCCTCGATAGCCGACTTCAGGCAAGCCATCAAAAAACAGTCACCCAGAATGCAAAGTCGCCGTGGTCGCGATCCACGGCAGTGAAATCTCAATATGGAGCGAGCCCCAAGCTAACGCGGCAAGGGCCCACGAAATCACACGCAGAAGCTCTGTCCAGCAATTCCGTTTCTTTATCTCTCTGCAAACAGACCAGCCGGTCCAATCGGGTATCCATACTCCGAGCGGGGGAGGAGAAACGCAATCACTGAAACGCGAGCGTGCAAACGTACAACAGACTCGGTCCAGAATATTAGAGGAGAGAAGGAGAAACGAGATCATTTAGCATATCATGGCTCAAGTCCTGCTGGCGTGAACTTACCTCCTGGCCAACTCCTTCATTCGCGCCTCCCAGCGTTCTCGAGCCACTCTCCTTGCCGTCTTCACCATCTCAGCCCTGAACTCGATGCTCCAGGTGCTTCGCTCCAGCGTCTCCCTCAAGTGGTCCGCTGGCATGTTCTTCGTCAGCACGCCGCTTAGCATGTTCGTTCCGTCGGTCCAGCGCACCATCGTCTGTGGCCTGTCCAGGATCTCTCTGATGCTCGCCAACCCCAAATTCACAGACTTCTGCGCCGAGCTACCCACGCTAGCGTCCGAGTTGAGCCTGTCGTGGCCGTCCTTGAAGTCGGTCACCACCGTCATCGGAACCTGCCAGCCGGACAACTTCATGCCTGCGCTCCTTGCCACGGGGCCGTACAGCATCTCCGCAGTCTGGTCGCGCACGCCTTGGGCCACATCCACAGCGTCGCCCACCGAGACCACCTCCGCCGCGTAGAAACTCCTCGCCGCTCTCTTCAAGTTGTGGCTCTTGCCCTCCAGCAGCGAGAAACGACCGACGCCTCTATCCACGAGCGAACGATCCGCGAACAAGATGAGAAACCCGGCCTGCGTGCCTATCTTCTTTGTCGCCGGGTCCGACTGCAGCGCGGTCCCGTCGTTCATCACGTTTCCCAGAGAGCTGTCCGACACTACCACCAGGCCGAACCGCTTGAGGTCGATCGGGCGCATCACGATCTTGAACGTCGAGCTGCGCTTCAACTCCCTCAGCATCTGGTTCGCTTTGATCAGTGCCGAGACCCTCGGGCCCTTCTTGCGGCCTTTCTCGTGCTGCAACATCGCCAGGTCGTATGAGTAGTCAACCCGCAGCTTCCTCACGAGCCAATTGATCTTGCCAACCACCTGCTGGTACTGCTTCCACTCCATCGCGTTCATCCGCAGGTGTGCTGATGCACGCCGGTTCCTGGGCACAGTCACAGGCTCCAGACTGGCTGCATGCTCCATCATGTCGATGGTGATGGCTCCTCCAGGCTGCCTCTTGAAGCGCCTGCCGCAGAACACGAAGTCATCGTACTCGTCGCTGCCGAAGCCGAGCTCCTTGCACAGCGCGTCCATCACCTTCGCCATCTTTTCGTTCCCGGCCCAGAGGAAGTCGTCCACATGAATGCAGACACAGCCCCACAGAGTGTCCGTCACGCGCTTCTTCGCCTTCGGGTCGTGCAGCACCAGGAAGGCGGGGTCCGAGCGAGAGGGCTCCAGTCCCAGCTTACGAGCCGCCGAGATCACCTTCAGATACCACAGCCTCGGTGCCGTAGGTAGTCCGAACACGCCCTTCCGAATTCGCGCCAGTCGACCTCGTGGGAAATCTGCAAGCGAGGGGCCATGCAGCGGAACTCGTATAACAAACCCGCGCTCGTCCACCTCGCCCTTGAGGAACGTGCCACTCACGTCCTTGGACCCGAACTTCCACTCCGGGTGCGACGCCGCCACCTGCGTCGGGATCATCTCTGACTGAGTGGTCGCACAGGGCGCGTCCATTCTCACGTTGGCCTTCTCGTCCGAGCGCCCGGGGTCGCCAGTGTTGACCACGAGCCTCGCGTTCGCCTTCAGCGGCAGGTCGTTCGCCTCCGTCCTCAGCGGGTCGTTCTTGTCAGTCAGCACCCGCCGCGTGCTCGTGATGTAGTCGCCCTTGCCGTCGCGCTTCATCTGCTCCTCGAGCTCGGCAGACTCCTTCTCCAGCATCACCTCCATGGACTCCGTGTCGATCCACTTCGCCCGCTGGGACGCTGCTGCCTCCTCGTAGTTCGCCTTCGTCGGTGGGTCCATCCGACTCCAGACCTTCTCCTTCCGGGCATGCCCCTGCGCGAGCATCGCCTCGAACTTAGGATCGACCGCCGGCGCCGTCTCCAAGTGGTCCAGGAATCGCCGCCGATCTGCCTCAGGGGCACCCTTGAGCCACGCCGCGGCTCTCTTCGCCGCACCTCCGACCCGGAGCGCCTCGTTAGGATGCTTGGGCTCTGGTGGTCCATCGCGTCCTCCGCGAGACGGCGCCCCTGGCAGCTCAGCTTCTACCGCGTCGCGCTTCCGACCTTGGGGCATGTCCTCCAGCGCTGCCTGCTGCCGCTCCGCCGCGGACTCCTGAGAGGGCGTGATGAGTCTCGAAGTACTGCCTTCACGTCCCTCATCCTGCTGATCTTCGCCCTCCTCGACGCGCGGCGTCCTCGGCGCGAAGCCGCCGTAGGGGCCGAACTGGCCGTCCGGGATGACGTTCGCCACCTGTGCTGGAGCGGTCGACGGCCTGGACCGCTCGCGCGCCTCACTGATGGTCTTGGCCACGCGCAGCGCCTTGGACTTGTCTGGGTCCTCGCCCTGGCCCCGCAGCCGCTGCGCCGCGTCGTGCAGGAAGTCGGTCTTCCCGCTCTCCCGAGAACTCGTCTTCCGTGAGAATTCGGCGCTCGAAATCGGGTCGAGCTCACGGCCGGCCGCGGCGCCGGCCGTCGCAGCAACCGCGGCCGACGGGGGAATTCCACCCATCGGCTCTTGCTGCTCCTCCTGCTCAGCGTGGTCCTCCACGGCCTCCGCGGCTTGAGAAGGTCGAACATCCGCCTCGGGCGCCTCGGGATCACCGCCATCAGCATGGTCGGCCTCGTCCTCCTCCTCGAGTGCCTTAGTCGCGTCCTCCATGTCGAGCTCCTTGTCGGCCTCCATGTCGAGCAGCGCCATCTCCATGATGTCCAGCTGCTCCCTGGCGCTGATGCCCAGCGCCTCGTCGGGCGACGCGCGGCGGACTGCCGCGGGGGGCTGCCGCGTACGAGACGTAGATGGCCGCCAGCTCGACTGCGATCACGACGGCCGGGCCGTGCCAGGCCTTGAAGATCAAGGATGGGCCCTTCCTCCGCCGGTTCTTGCGCTTGCCCTCGCGGTAGAAGTAGGCCGCGTCGCCGAGCTTCGCGTTCGTGCTGGGAGGCATCCTTCGGCTGCGAGCGACTAGCGCTCGCCGCAGTCGCTTGCTGGTACCCAGCTTCTCCAGGGCCGCCTTCGCCGCGCTGTAGACCTGCAGCCGCTTCGTCGTGTGGGGATCGTTGTCCGCCGCGTCGTGCGCCGCGATCTGAGAACGACCGCGCTCGCTGAGAGGCCCCGCGGCGGCGTCTGGGAACGCCCCAGAACGAGCTGCGCCGACGAAAAGCCGGACTCGTTGATCCTCTGGTTCTTGGCCCAGGTGATCATCGCGGCGGCGGCCGTCACCTCCAGCTCGGTCTCGATGTCCGCCTCCGTGGTACTGGCCCTCCAAAGCATCTTCCATTCGCCTCCAGCACGCTCGCGCGCGCCGTTCTGCCACGGCGGCTCCGCCGCCGTGAACCAGACCTGCGCCCCGCAGCCCTCCAGCAGCCGGAACGCCTTGTAGAACTCGCCGCCGTTGTCGCACACCGGCGAGTGAGGCACGCCGCCCCAGCTGGACCAGACCAGCTCCAGCACCTGGGCCACGATGCCGGGGTGCTTGCTCCTGATGGGCGCCACCACCTGGAAGCCCGTCTTGATGTCCACAATGTTGAGCATCTCCAGCGCCACGCCCCAGTTCGTGTGCACCGTGAACAGGTCGATCGCAATCTGCTCGCCGAGCTCCTTCACCTTCTTGAGCCGCGCGGGGAACCTGGTGTGCCCAACAGCTGGCCTGTTCATCTCGTGGCGCGCCGGGCGCTGCAACTGCGCCGCCGCGATGGCCTCGTCGCTCGCCCCGCGCGCGCGGAACGCCCGCGCGAGCTGATCCTTCGACGGGTGTCTCAGGTTCTTGTGGATCCTGAGCACGGCGTTCCTCGCCTCCTTGCAGACCTTCGTCTCTTTGAGCGTCGTGAGATCCTCCTGGGGTTCCTCTGTGGCCGCGAAGTCCACGAATCCCGGATCGTCCACCTCCTCTGGGTCGGCGGGGGCGGATTCCTTTTCCGCAGCGAGCGCCTCCCTCGTGCCGAATAGGTTCAGCATGCCCTTCACGATGCTCCTCGCCAACTCCGAAGTGTAGTGGCCCGTCCGCGCCGTCGCGCTCGGGCCGCCCACGACGGGGTCGTGCTTGTGCGAGTGGTCGCGCTGCCGGTCGAGGTCCCCGAGCAGCTCCTCGTGCGACGCCCGAAGCCTCGTCGGCTTCCTATGTGCTCCTCCACGCTCTGAGGAGCCCATGAATGCACTGGTCCACCTCCGCGGCGCAGCCCTGCTGAATGAGCTCTCGAAGTTCTGGCTCACCCCAGACCCGAGACCACTTCGGATTCTCGATCATCCATGCACCTCCGTAATTCTTCACCACCTGCACCACCTCCTTCACGAACCTCAGAAAAGGGTCGATCCCGATCTTGCCGTTCTCGAACCTTGGCCTGGTCCTTCTGGAAGTAGGTCAAGTTGCTCCAGGGCCCG